GCTAATGGCCCACACAGATGCTCCAGCACTCTCTGGTCTGGCAAGAAAGAATAGATAGAACTGGGGTCAGGGCGCAATGAAACTGAGCCAGCTACTGCAATGCAGTGGATTTTTAGTAAATACTAATTAGGGGAGAAAAGGCAGGAAGGTGAGAAGGAGATGCTAGTGAGGCATACTGCTTTATTTTTCTCATATATGCAAATTTTTATTTTCACCTCAATACTGCAAGTTAAAGCTATTTTACAACTTATTATTTCAAGTGCTTAACCCTTTAAAAAAATTTTTTTGGTATTGGGTATCGAACTCATGTCCTTGTGCTTGCAAGGCGGGTAACAGAACCACTGAGCTAAATCCCCAGCCCAACCCTTTTAAATTATTTAATCTATATATGGAAATTAAGAAAGGTGCTACATGTGTTTCTGTTTGATAAATGAAGAAAGGGCAGTACAGAGAAAGTTACTAACTTGCCCAAGTCCTCCAGCTAATAAGTAGGACATCCATTTCCTACCCATGTCTCCCACCCCCACATAATACCCACCCCCATCACGAGTTAAGAGAAAGAGAGGAGAAGAAGGTTAGGGATGAAAAGCCAATAGATAATCCTAAGATAAAGTCCAGGCTCAGGAAAACTGTACAAATCTTGCTCTTCTTGGGTCAAGAAGATGGATTCCAGAAGATTCCAAAGGGCAACACCATAGAGGCAACTGTCTGGTAGTCAATCATTCAATGTAAATATTTAATACTATTAAATGCCCTCACCTATTATTACCTCCACGTTATGTGGTTCTGTTGAGAGGAACACTGGAGTCAAAACATGTGGAAGGTGATATCAGAGTTGCCATTTAACGTGTGACTTTGGACAGGGCAGATCTCTTTGTGCCTCAATTTCCTTGTCTGCTATCTTAAAGCCCAAGCCCAGATCTTGAGGCAAAGTCAGCCTTCAGTGATACCGTTTTCCATCTTTGCTGTCTAACATCAGATGGTACCGTTTATCCTAAGATGAAGTAGAGAGACCCAAAGGGTGCTATGTCTCATAGTTCCAAGAAAGGTCTGCAGATGGCCAGGTGGTAGAAGGGCCTGCAGGAAGCAGGGTGCGCAAGACTAAGCCAGGGCTTTTCACATCAGGCCAGTCCAAGGCCCGGCCCCGGCTGCCTGGCAGGGATCCAGGGAAGCCCAGACCTCTCCCTGCATCAAAGACTTCCTTGGGTGTAGCACTCCATGACCTGCCTCTGCCGTGGGCTCCTTCTTTTGTCTGACTGGCATCCCTTCTATTACAATTTGATCTCACTTCCTTTGCTCTGACTCTAAGGGGAAAGAAGAACAGCTGGGCATTGCCACCCCCATGCTGGCCCTTCCAATAAAGGATGCCAGTGCCAAACATGGAGCTCCAAAGCCTGCGCTTTCATCCTGTCGTAAAACTCGATCCAGCAGAGCTGGAAGCCTGTGGGTTTCCAAGCCAGTAGAGTCAGCCTCTCTGCGTCCTGGCAGTCTGTGGGCAGCAGAAGATATTTCCTATGCCATGGGAGTGGCCTCCAGGCCTTCTGAGAAGGCAGGTGCACTGGCCCAGCTACCACTCCCAGGCACCTGCCCAAAGTGTGAGTGAGGAGAAAGCACCAGGCTGGGCAGAGCAGGCCAGGTAAAGGCAATGGGAAGGGCGGGGCAGTCCTTACACCTCCCGTGACAATGCAGATGCCCCACAAAGGAAACTGCAAGCAGCCTGTGAATGAGTGAGTTTGACCAGTGGCCTTAGCTATCCCAGGGTGTGGCCTCACTCCAGAAGACACCATCAGTACATTTTAGAAGACATTTTGACTGGAAATGTGAAAGCCAAACCCTGTCGACCACGGTGCTGGAGTGCGAACTGGATTAGCTTCCCAGAAACAATTGCTAGCACTCAGGAAAGCCTTCTAAGTGCTCTTTGAAGAAGGATTTCAGTGGGGTGTGGAGGCCAGTCTGGAATCCCGGGGTTCTGGGAGGCTGTGGCAGGAAGATCGCAAGTTCCAGTCCAGCCTGCAGAACTCAGTGACTGAATGAAAGCTGTCTCAAAATAGAAAATAAAATGAGGCCTGGGAATGTAGTTCACTGTGAAGGCTCTGAGTTCAATTCCCAGTACCACAAAAAAGTATTTTCACATATTCTATAAAAATACTCAATGATATATATATTTAAAACAATTAAGTCTGTGTACATTAGAGCATTTTTAAGAGTTATAAAGATATTTTGGAACAAACTGCATGCCCACTGATTAGGATGTAGCTAAAACTCACTATTATTATAGAAAAGGAACAGCCATTAAATATAAAGAATAAAGACAAGCTTGATTCAGTGGCAGCTGCTATAATCCCAGCACTCGGGAGGCTGGGCAGGAGGCCAGCAAGTGCTATTTGAAAACAACCCTGGCAAATTAACAGGATTTTGTTTTTTCAAAAAAGGAGGAGATAGGGGTGTTGCTCAGAGTAAATGCCCTGGGTTCAACCCCCAGTAACAAGACTAGTATAAAGACCAAGCAGTCACAATGTACAATGTGAAAAAATAGGCATCAAGCCAACACACTCAGGGGCTGGGGATGTAGCTATCTCAGTGTTTCCGCCCCCTGCCTTACAAGCACAAGGTCCTGAGTTCAATACCAGGTACAGAAGAAAAAAAACAAACCAACAAACAACCAGCACATGCAGCATCTGTCCCTTAGAGGCAAGGAGGAGGGAAGGAGTCTCACAGCGGAGCCTCTCTTAGGAGCAGACGAGTAGGATCCCAGCTCAAGAACCCCATAATGCAACTTCTGAGCTTTGCCTAGCTGAGCAAAGCCCTCCCTTCCATAAATGCCTTCTTCGTCTTTGCCCCAAGGTGACACAGAAATTTCAAAAGAAATGAAAACCTTTATTGCAATATGATTTGTACATGAATGTTCATTGAAGAAGTGTTATTCAGTGGAACCAAAAAGTGGAAACAACCCAAATCCCTACAAATGGATGGACAAAGAATTCTCTGTGCATAGGGGAACATTATTCACAATTAAAAAGACAAAGACCAAATAGACCCTGTAATATGGATAAGTGTCAAAAGCCTCGGGTTCAGGGAGAAAAATAGGAAAGAGGCCATGTATCACATGATTTCTTTTTACATGAAACACACTGTGGACAAAGGTATGGACAACACAGACAGGAACCCAAAGACCTGGTGCTGGGGGCTAGGGGTGGGTGCCTATGAGAAAGACCCTGCTTTCTGCAGGGCTGATGATGTCGTAAATCCAGATTACAGGGATGGCTGCATAGCTCTGTCAATGCACTGAAAACCATTTAACTGTACACTTAAACAAGTACATTTCAAAATGCATAAATTACGTATACATTTCTACATCGATTATATTAGATATTTATACATGAATAAAGCTTTTAAAAATACCGCAGGTGATGGTGTACTTCAGAGAGACAACTCCTCAGATACGTGTTTACTCCACCGGTATTCTTCAACTACCCACAGTTGCCAAGCATTACTCTAAGAATATAGGTGTGAAAGAAACAAGAGTTACCAACTGTACTTTGGTGATCTTGAGTCAGTTTACACACTCACATCTATCAGTAGATTCCTGGACTTCCCGGCAGTCATTTCTTCCTCATTTTTCCAACCCTCAAGGGCTGCCCAGTGTTTGGCAGTGTGTAACACCCACTGCTGGGTGACCGGATTAAGGGGACTCAGAGAGGCTTCTGGAGGAGGAGAAGTGCAGAGACCCTGCAGCAGCTCACAAGGCGAGAACCAAGGAAGTGGGATCCAAGTCTGTGCATGGAAGCTGCAGGTCTTTTGTCTTCCCAGAAGCAGAGTCTCTCTGAAACTCTGGCTTATAGAGTGTGGGAGGGAGCAACATCCTGGCAAAGCTCCCAAGTCCTGTTTTCAAGATCCTGCCCAATATCTTGGCAGGGACTGGGAGCTCCTAATCCTCAGGATGCTGGGGCTTTAAGGCTTCAACCCCTAACCAGCTTGCTCTTTCTTGAGGGACTTGATGGACAGCTCTGTGGAGTTTCTTCTCTGCTTCTGCTTTCCCATGTGATGCTCAAGTCCATTCTTGGGCACCTGCCACCTGCTACGAAACGAGTTAGCATCAGGAGCTCTCCAAGCCCCTCTTTACCACTTCCAGAGCTGTCTTCCTCTCACCGCCCCTCTCAGCGAGGGCCTCCTAGAACTCTGCAAGACGTGTGCAGATCTGTAAAGATGCCTTATTCCCTTTGACCTGGTCATTTTACTTCTAGGCATGAAATTAAGAAAAAGCATCGATATTCAGAGTGGTCTGTTTTGAAGGTTGTTGGCTGCATTGATTTCTGTAACCCAGTAATATTGCTACAATGGAAGCCACCTGAATGAATACCAGAGAGGGAATGGTTAACTCAGCTACAGGACCACTGTGTGACAAGGGCAGTGGAAACAATACTGCTGCAAGCATGTTTCATTGTGAATTGGGCACCACCCTTGACACACTCTTCGGCAAGCTATGTAGACTGTGGTGTGCCCCCCGTTCTCTGCCTCCATCCTGGAAGTCTTCTCCATGTGTCTGTTTGTAGGGAGAGAGGCAGGGAGCAGAGAACTGGGGGCTGGGCAGGTTTCCAGGCAGCCAATGAGCCTCTACATGCACGCATGTGGAAGGAACAGCGCCATCCATGTGCTGGAACTCAGTAACAGTCCCTCAGTCAGTGGGCTGTGGCAGATGTCCATGCATATCTGTGCTTAGTAGAATCTTCCCGTTTTCACAATGAACAAAATAAAAATTTTAAAATAATTAAAAAATAAATAAATCTGAGGTCAACTTGTTCATAAAAAACAGCAGTTTTTAAAAATTTTTAAGATGCTCTAAGATGTCAGGTACAAATGACCCCATCAGCAGTATCCCATTGCCTGGGTCTGACTTGGACAGAATGTCCAAACCTCCTGTATGACCAAACAATGGAAGAACGTGCTCCTTGGCCCCTGGCCACAGGGACTTCAGCTTCCAGGAAAAGAAAGGCCAGGAAGGCTTATCTTTCAAGAAACAGAAAGATTTAAGCGAGCACAGGTTCTTTCCCTAAACTGAGAACTGATGGCTCATGTCTGGTAAGAGTCTGTCTCAGTGGGGTTTTGACCAGCAGCTCAAAAGTCCAAAGTAAGGGAAAGAGGGACAGAGCCTGTCTTCTCCCGAGAAGGCTTAGCAGGTGGACTGCAAAGGTTCTGTCCAAGCCTGAGCTCCCTCTGGGATTGTAGTTCCAAAAGGCTTTGCGAAGGAAGAAGAGTTGTAGAAATGAGTTAAAAGATGACAGTGCAATGATCGCGCAGAATCCAGTATGAGTCCTCAGCCCAAAGGAACTGTAAGTCTCCACTGGAAACCTCACCCCGCCTCCCCCGCTCGGGGCCTCACCTCCGACCCGGACTTAAGATGATGCACATGCATCAAAACCCCAAGAGCAAGGGACCCAGCCTTTGCCTGTAACTGTGGGGGCTGCCAAGCCGGGAAAGAAATCTAAGCCACATGTGCCGGGGGTTTCGCCTGCTCCGAGGGACACAGGGACAGCGCGGGAAGGGAAGGTACGTGACGAGAATGGAGGCGAGACCCACCCACGTGTGTGTCCTTCAACCCCCAGGAGAAAGAGGGGTCCCCAGGGAGGAGGGCCGCCCAGTCTGTGTGGTTTCTCGGGGCTACGCACATCAGCTGCCGGCGCCGTGGCCTCAGGTAGCATCTTGTGGACCCGGGTGTCTCCTACCGTTGGCTTCGCTTGAGGTCTCCTGGGAGACTCGAGTTGAGGGGAGAAAGCTCCGCACAGCCATGCACCACCGAGGCCGGCTTGGGATCCTCGGCCTCATCACCACCGAGAGCAGCTACAGAGGCAGACAGGACTTCAATGGTCTCAGGGACCAGGGAGCTCCGGGAGGGGAGGACAAGCTAGTGCGGCGTCACGGAGCTGTGCTAGGACCACAGCGTCAGCTTCTCTGGGTGGAGACGCCCCTCAGTCCATGGAGGCGGCCCTTCAGAAACCCTGGGCAGGGAAGGGGAGGAGAGGACCCACTGCCAGCCCTGCCCTTGGCACGGTCCGCAGGGTGCAGCGACCCCGGGAGAGGGGCCTTACAGCGGCCGTGGCCCGCGTGCCTGGACTGTGAGCCGACCGGGCTCTGAGGCAGGGAGGGCTGGGTCAGGCATCCACTCGCAGTGGCTCCTCACTAGGGAGCCGGCCTACCCGCTTCCGGAGACCCCGAGGACGGGGGAGCTCGCCCTGCCTGTAGCAGTCAGGCCGGGCCCTCTGGATCCGGGTCCCTGGAGCCCAGCGCTAGGGCTCGGTCCCCAGGCCGTGTCACTGTGAGACGTTCTGGGCCAGACGAGCAGAAAGAAGGCCGAGAGCTCCCCTGGGAAGCTGTCCGCCCTCTCCCTCCACTGCTCATCTCAGCATCCCTCACGCTGGAGCAGGACCGACAGGGGACAGGACCACTCCGGAGACCAACGGTGACCGCGAGGGCCGCAGCTTCCACCCTCCAGGGCGCTGAGCCCGGCCGTGCACTCGCTCTCACACCCACACCCATACTTCTCAATCCACTCCACACACTCACAAATGCATTCTACACACACATCATACACACACACATTCCACACCTACACACACTCCACACTCATACACACTCAACCACACTCCACACTGCACACTGCACGCATACACACTCACATTTCACACCCCACACTCAC